CAAAAGCTTCTTATACTTATGTAAAGGACTGGATGATGCTTCGAGAATGCCTCGCTGGATGTCTAGGGAGCATGCAGACCCTTTCTCATCAGAATGTTAAGCTTAAGCTCAAGCTGCCCGAGGGTTCTCCTGCGAAATTCCACAAGATTAGTGGTGCCCTGCAAATTACGAAGCGAGCTACGGGCAGAGATGCGGAAGCATCCCTCGGTGATCTTCGATTTGGGGACAAGCGTGATGTTCTGGTGCAACTTGTCATTCTTCCTGACAATACTTCCCAAGAACAACTTCCTCAAGATCCCTGGGATAATATTGTCTCAGGTCTCGAAGCACTCGGTGGCCCTATGGACAACGACAACGAAAGAACTCTCTCCGTCGAAGAGGTTCCATTGATCCAAGCAGACCTTAGCTGGGGGGATATCCTGCGTGAGGGCACTGTCACACATATGCCTCGGCCATCTCTTCTGGCCATCACCATGCTTCCAGTCAGTGGAGGATCAAAGAAGACATGGCAGAACTCCCCTCCCATCCCTCCTCACCCGAGTATTGTTCAGCGCCGCATGGAGCTCCTCACTTCTGACATGCTTACCCGTGCTCTCACTCTGGTCAGCCGCGGCCAACACGACCGTGCCCATACACTATTGAATGAGACTCGATCAATTCTGAAGGGTCTCGGAAAAGGTGGACTCCCCCCCATCCCCCCTCCAAGCAAGTCGACCCCTTCGGCCCCCTCCACTCCCCATCCCGCGAACGACGCTTCGCCAGGTCAATCAACCACTCCCGATCGCAAACGCAGCCCTTCACCGCCTGCTTCGGCAATCTCTGGTGTAAACGGTCTCCCTTCCTCGCAATTGGGCCGTAGCCGATCTAACGATGGCCTTGGGCTTGGTGCTGGAATTGATGCCAATACTGTCGCCGCCCTTGATGCTGAATTAGAGAGTAGTCTGGAGTGGATTAACCATCCTGCTGTTTTCAGTCGCGACAGTAGAAAGGCCGTCCTTCAGGCAATTGGCGTAATAAGCTCCCAGCGAGCTTTCACATACCGCACCCCTATCGAGGGGCTATGGGCTTGCCGCGTTAGCGGCGTCAAGAAGCTCACGGAGAAGAGTCGAGAATGGCGTGAGGATGGTGGCGGTGAGGGCGGAATCACAGAAGAATCTTGATCTTCATAATCGTTTTCGCCCATTTCCTCTTTCTTCATTTACTGTCATAGCCAAAATAGCGCTCTGGTTCTATTTTCAGCTTGACTAACGACCGATCATGACCAAAATATTCAGATGCTTCCCACGCTATTACACATGCATTTGTTGCTACTGCTACTTTATACTCGCTACTTGCTTTCTTCAGCCGATGAAGGGATGCATTATCTCTTCCGGCTTCCCTCTGGAATTGTTCGATACCCCTGGAATCTACCAACTATCTGGCGCACATTACACCTTATACTCGTAGTATATACCTGCTTCACCATCTTGCATTAATAGATCTTTTTCTGACTCACTGCAATTGGTCTGATCCAGCTCTATCCGCTGCGATATTGCCTCGCTGATGTTCCATGGTTCGCATTTCCTCTTCAGTATGTTGGAAACAGCCTGTTATACTCCTGTATTCTGCTGATCCTTTTGCATAATGGGGTGTATTGATGTGCTGGATAGGTAGATAGCCTTTTTCTGCCTTATATACACTGCGTTTCTGGATTATCTGCACATATAAATAGTCATAAGCGGGAAGGGACTTGACGAAGTCGATGCATGAAAATACTTAACTTGATATATCACTGTTGACTCTTAAGTAGAAATACCCCCCCTTCTTGTTTTCGACATAAATGGGTGGTAGAAATCACTGCCTTATATGAATGTCCCTTCTCATCCGCAATAGCTTTGTCACAGCATCTGAATTGGCTATTGAAAATTGAAGTCCATAATTGCGGTACCAAGTCTGACAGAACTGAGTGATCTAAGTCGAGGGCACAGCAAAATTTACAACGGGCTACTGGACAATCTTAATGAACATATGTCTATGCCTTGACTCTGTTATCTGAGGGATATCTAACCAACCACGACACCAGGTGATCGTCACGCATATCACATCCATTGCCGATTTTGAACTTTTTAGTTTTATCCATTTAGTCCTCGTCCCAGTTCTGTGGCTTTTGGTCAGTCCAAGCTTCTCATAGATAGGAGGAAGGGAACGTACAGGGTTGGGTCCAGGGGGCTTGGGTCCTCCAGCTTGTCGTGCCACGATGATCTGGTCAACAGACAAAACGGTGCGGGCGGCTTCCGTAGCAAGTTTGATGGCCCACTGCTTGGAGATGAGAAGATCCAGAATACCTTCATCCTTGGCATCGATAGTACCAGTGTTATCATCGTTCTGTGGCATGAGTTAGAAATAGATTCATCATAGATAGATCAAAACGGACCTCAATATCAACGCCAATGTCCCAAGCGTCACTGTTTGCGTGGGCAGCGTAAAGTCGGCTGAGAACCTCGGTGGCGTCAAGTCCGGCGCTCTCAGCGATGGTGCGAGGAACAACCTCAAAAGCCTCACCATACTTCTTGATCGCGTACTGGCTAAGTCCGGGAGTCTTCTCACCGTGAGCTTGTATCCTTTCAACCAGCTCGACTTCTGTAGCACCAGCACCAGGAACCAACCGCGGATCACGGGTAATGGCTTTGACGACGTTGACACCATCATCGACGGCGCGCTCAATATCATCAAGATGGTTCTGGGTTGCTCCTCGAAGCACAAGGGTGGCGGTTCGAGTGACCTCATCCTCCTGGCGGAAGACTGTAACTCGGTCTCCACCAATTTCAAGGGTCTCAACAACATCGATGCTTCCCATCTCGTCGGGCATAGGAGCCCCTAGCCTCGCCAAGGGGGTGGCACCAACAACACGGCATACTCTTCGAAGTTCGAACTTGCTGAGAATTCGGATGCACAAAATTCCAAATCGGTTCAGGTAGTGCATCGCCAAATCGCCGACACGCTCACCACAAACAACAACTCGGAGGCCAGAGTCGTAAAGTTCCTTGATGGAAGTCTCGAGTTGAGACTCCTCACCCTTTGTGAAATCCATCATCTCTTTGGCGTTGTGCAGGAGAACAGTACCCTTGGTCTCGGTTTGACCGGCGTCAATAGGACAGGTGAAGACACCAACCTTGGCGCGGCTGGCCTTTTTGACCGAACCATCAGGTTCCTTAGGGAAGACCATGCCCTTAACGACCCTGCTCTGCTCCAGGCTTCCACCCATGATCTTGACCACGCGGATATTGTCGACATTAAAGTTAGCGGGGTTCTTGGGGAGAACATTGAGAACAGCCTCGGCAACAAGATCGGCAAGGAATGCCTCGTTTCCGTTTTGCTTGCTGGCAATAACCGTGCTGATGGCCTTGCTCAGCTCTTCCTGATCTCGCATATCCTCCACTTTGTCAACAGCAAGCTCTTCAAGGGTCTCAAGAGCAAATTTCTGGGCCTTCTCATAGCCGATGACGATGTCTGATGTCTTGAGGCCCATGCGCAGCAGATCCTCTGCCTTTCGAAGCAGCTCGCCAGCGAGGACAATGACAAGGTTGGTAGCATCGCCCATCTCAGCTTCTTGTTGCTGACTAGCCATGACGAGGAGTTTGGCAGCGGGGTGTACAACGTCGAGTTCGCGTAGGATGGTCGCAGCGTCAGATGTAAGAATCATTTTTTGCAAATGGTTGATGACAATCTTATTGCGGCCATAGGGGCCAAGCGAGGTCTGAACAGTGGATGCAATCGCTCTGCAGGCGTCGATATTGCGAAGTACAGCACCATCTTCGGAGTCGTAGCTATTGAGAAAGAGATAGATTTGTTAGTCGAATTCATAAAAAGTTCATTTACTGATTGTTGTGATCATGAAAGTGGCATTTGTAAGGAGGCAAGTAAAGAGGCGGGGAGCTACCAACACAAGGAGGGGAGCAACTCACTTGTTATAACCTTGCTTGAACAAGCCCGCGTTGGGGGCGTTGGGGATATTGAGCGACATCTTCGACGGCCACAGCGCTCAGGAGGCGATTTTCTTGGTTGTGGCTGTATAAGATATGTCGTCAACTATGTGTCTGGTTTGAAAGTCGAGGTGATACCTGTTGATGGATAGATTTCGCCTGCTAGCTTCACAGTGTCCCACCACCCAAGTCTGAAAAACTTCCACGGGGTGATTTAGTGGGTAGTGGGTACGTACCCGACTGCCTGCACTCAGAGGTCGCTCCTACCAGCGCGGTGCTCTACCTCTACCTTACAATGATGAATACAGTTGATTGCGAATGAGTGGGTGCTAAGCTTGTGGATTTTCGAAGGCAAATAAGAATAATTTATACTACCTTATTATACTTAAGAACCCATGATCAGCAACTTTACCTCAGGTAGTGAAAACCTAACCTAGCAGCCTAGGTGCCTTACATATAAGCATTCTTGCTGATAACAGCCTCAATTTGAGGGACAGATTCAAGGGTCTAGCTGTCCAATCAGACATGGTCTCCGCCACACCCCCTGAAGGAGTCGTCAGCCTTGCATGCCGCTGTGGCTAACGAGCACGCCCGCGAAGCTTTGGTGACGGGAACGAACTGACACCGTCCAGGTTTGCGACTCGTGATGGCTGATTGACACACTTAATTTTTAACACCTTTTCACACTGATACCCACGACCAGCGCCATACCTAGGTACTAACGCCAGATCCTCTCGCCTTGGTTACGAAGCTTCTTCTTTGTCTTGTTGCCTGATCGATTTCAGCGTTCATCAATTACAGATTCATGTGGACACCACCTGCCAGTGATTCTGAATAGTGAGCTTAACAACCTGACTTACCTAGCGAATCGTCACGCGTCAAGCTATCACTCCTGAACTCACAGCGAACTTCGACAGCCGACGTCGCAATTATCTTTCCTCGTCTCAAATCGAATCTCTTCCAGAAACATACATACCAATCGTAGAGGCAATCTTATCAGTTGTGATTCATAGCTGCCTAGGTAGTAGCTAGCCAACCATGCCCGGTAAGTCATTCGCCCATGACAGAATCGTTCACCGTCAACGATCGCTCCTGGTGGGTTCTGTTGGTTGCTCCAACCCTCAAACTCACGGCTCAAGTTAAGGCCAAGGCACATCCCTTGCACCATCTACCACACGATCCTCATTTGCCCTGCGCTTCACAACCACACTCTTCTGCTTCACTGCGCGTTCCTGTATTGTTTTCACGGCTCTCGCATCATCACCTCGCCTCCACATCAAGCGCCCAGAATGACCATAACACTCAAGCGCAAAGCATCAGAAGCTGACCTCCCTCCTCGCACACCAGCGATTCCTTCTACACTCCCTCCTTCCGTGGAGGAGGCCTATCGTCGAAAATGTGTTCAGCTGAAGAACCGCACCAATGAAGTTGAAGACGCCAATGATGCCGCTCGACTTCGTCTTGCTCGTATCAAGCGCCAGGTTGAAAAGTTGCGAATAGAGCGCGCTTTTCTCCTCGAACAGCTCGCAAAGCGCACGAGCGCAAATGTCGAGGATTCAGACGGCAGCCCAAGCCCACCCCCTACGGTATGCTTTTATTTTCTTCCCATCCCTCTTCTCCCTTTGCCTGGCAATCCTCTACCGGCCTGCCGCGCCTCTACTACTTACGGCGCCCGGTTCAATGTTGATGCTTTTGCGCTTGGATTAGGACTACCAATTCACCATACCAAGTGAGTTAGCTAACCACCAGAAGCCCAAAGATAAGCCTCTGCGTACGAAGAGAGGCCACCGAAAGTCGATGATGCCTGATTCCGACTCGAAGGCACCAGTCGCTGCCTCTTTTACCAACACCGCCGGCTCCCCAACCTCCGAAACCTTCTCACACCCTCCAGAAAGCCAACCCAAGCCGGCTCATGCCAACGGTATCTCTGCGAGCGATTCCAAGAAGCCCACCAGTGCATTTGAGCTGTTTTGCTCAGAAACACGGCCTGGTCTCGAGAGCAAGGAAAAGGACAGCGAGATCCCTTTGAACATTGAGGATGAGCTCGCTCGTGTCTGGAAGGGTCTCTCGGATGGTGAGAAAGATGAATACGAGGCAAGATTCGAACTTGCGATGGCCAAGAACGATGAGTCGAAGAAAAGCCCCGCATCTGACAAGAAGGATGATAAGCCTGCTGAGCCCAAGCAACTCGTTCAGGACGAGGACATAGAGATGGGTGATGACACTGAGGATCAAGATACACAGGCTGGCGAGAAAGTCGAGTAATGAGGACATCCATTGAATGTCTCGAGGCGTTTTGGCGGGTATACGATTTCGCATGTCATGACATCAACCCATGTACTAGTAATTAGATGCTTTTCACAACAAAGAACTAAGTTCCGAGAACGGATTCAATAGATTAAGAAACGCGGCATCTTCGCGCGCATCGCTCTGAGACCTAGCCGCGAAGTCATCTATCTAATATCTGCAAATTTTACACGTACTCCTGGTCGCTTCGTTTGTGGGTATTTATCCCAAATTACAACAACACCAAGACAAGATGAACCTCCGTAAGCTGAATTTTCTATTTCTTCTCCTTCTTTCTCCCTTCCCCAATGAAAAAATGGGCGAGATCCCTTGGCCGAGGAAAAGCTTATTCGCCGACATACAAGTCTACTACAATATTGACAGCTGCAACTAGAATTTCTGCCGCAATAAGAACAATTACTGTCAAGTGGTTAGCATACTACATGTGTCATAGAATGGCGCTTAGCATACCGATCCATTCAAGCTTCTCGTCATGGCCATGGCTGAGCTCTCCTTTTAGCACAGCCAACAAATCTGCTATGACATCGAGACGTTCTGTCAAAAGTCCAACGCGCTGGTCCATCTCTAAATAACTCCTCACGGCTTGGTACACGGGTTCAAGTTGGGGCTCTACCCAGAAGAGCTCGGGTGTATCGAGTACCGAACCGTTTAGGTGGATGTTGATGCGAAGGATGAAAAGTTCTCCAATTTGCATGTTGATCTGTGATCGCCGAAGTGCAATTTTGCCCGTTGTGGCTATTTGTGTAGGAATATCTTTGCATGTGTCAACTGTTGATGCAATCAGCTCTTCGAAGAGTGAAGTCTGCAAGCTGTTAGCAAACCATCCCGATACAACCCTTATTAGCAGGTCAGCTTACTTTGACACTTTGTGCCAGTGCATGAGAAATAGCTAATTTCGTCATGTAGTTGTTCTTGTCGCGGAGAGTGATAAAGTCATTATAGATACGGGCCTGATAATCCTTTGTGTAGTAAAAGTTGAACAACTCAGTCTCGACATCATCTGGGGCAAGCTTCTCTGTCTCAAACTTGGCGATCTCCTTCAGGAACCGGGCTTCTTGAGCTTCGGTCATTCCCCAGATGACAACCACTCCATAATCGAAGAGAAACACCTCGGGTGTATGCACCTGCGTATCAAAATCGGGATTGGTCTCGCTTATCGAGTCGTGATCTTCTACTGCCGAGCCCAGCAGATCTGCGCTGTCAATGTGAGAGCCATTACCGTTACCATTAGCATCGTTATGGGCGTGGCCATTGTGGCCACGAGCCTCTGAACCGGCCTCTTCTAAAGGTAAGTCAGCTAAGTCGCTCCGCTGTTGCGCGACATCAATGGCGTCACCTCCAGTTGAATGCCGGCGTTCATAGTTCTGAACTGGATCGCGACTGCGCGCGTTTTTGGAGGTATAATTATATGGCGTATATATGCATTCGTCGATGAGCTTGGGGTTTGCGCCTCGGGTTTTTCCTCTTCCCTTTAGAAATCTCATCATGGCTTCCATCTCGTATCGGTTTGCAGTGCAATATGCCGTGACACGCGGCAGTCGGTCTCGATCCGCTTTTCCTAGTTTCGCTGCATCTCTCCGCGCAGCTGGATCCTTGATACGTGTGTACTGAGAATAGACATCTCTACCACTCTCCTCGTCCTCAGGGTCGTCCAGGTCGGTGTTGGGAAGCAGCTTCAGCTTTTCCGTCTTTTTCGTACTGCGTTGAGGTCCGATTTTGGGTCCAAAAGATAGATTGGCAACTGCAGGTACAGAACCTTGGCTGTTCCGTCTCCTGAGCTTATTGTTCAGAGCTGTGAGCATGGGAGGGCCGCCAGCGGCGCCGCTGACGGAGCCAGCAGCATGGTGCCCCGGGGATCGATGTTGAAATTGTTGACGAGTAGGTTCAAAGGTTTTTGTAACAGGGTTGTCGCTGAAGGTAACTGATCGTGTTCCTTTGGGTCTGTTCTCTGTGGTAGGGAGTAATGGCGACGACTCATTAAGTGCAGCGTCTGATGAGGTGCCATGGGGATCCATTTTGGTTTAAGCCAGTGACGATTGAAATGATGGAGTCGGGAAGATAAGTAGATTCAAATCTTTCAGGGCGCAGGTGAAACACTGGCACTGCGCACCACCTCGCTAAGTACCGTAAAGATCAATTGAAATGATACCAAGGCCGTGGTCGGGTTGGACAACGAAGGATGATTGCGGTTGCGGTGTTGGGGTGAAGAACTTTCCTGGGGTTGATGTTACTGGTGCTAATGACGTCTGCCAAACTTCCGCGACCTGACGCGAAGAGCAACCTAATGATCCACCATGCTTGAAGCTCTTTGTGGGGCATTTTCGCATTTCTCTTTTGAGCATCCTCCGTACTACCTCATGTAATTCTTTCCATTTTAATATAGGATAAGCTTTTGGACGTCAAAAGACTCGAGACTGATTTTGTATAAGAGGAGGAAAACTGGTTAAAGAAATCTAACGTTATACTTAGAAACTATCAATCTGCGGTATTTTTGTCACCTCAGATTGAGCTCCCGAGGTTTCTTCTACCATTGTATAAGAAGGAAGCTTTCATGGCATTTGACGATACAAATATCAAAGACAAAGAAGTCAATAGTAGTCACTAAACTTCGCCCAAAAAAAAGTCTATCTAAGAATGAACGACGGTCGAATGTCGGCATGATGAAGGTGATGTAGCCCTGTTGTGTCATTGCTTCTCCATCAGATGCAAACGTCTTGTCTTTATTCTGCTAATCACGTTCAAGCATCAATGATCTTGACATCAGTCCTAAATCCAGACTTGTCCAAGCGGTCGACTAAACCTTGACCTAGGCAGGCTGGTGTATAAGATCCGCCATCGAGCTCAATGTCGTCTTCAAGAATTGTTGCGGCAATCTCAGCAAGGAGCATTCCTGTCACTGCGGGCACAACTGTCAGTAAGAGCTCATGGCCTTTGGGCGTTTTAAACTCACAAAAGTACATGCCACCATGATACCACATACGGCAGAGAGCTGCTTTGCCTGCGGCCTTCTCCGAATCAGGATATGCGATGCCCCGATACTCGATTTCATCTTTGGCCGTGTCCTCACGTTTAGCACCTTCTCCAGGCTGATATACACGCTTTTTGAGAAAGTTCCTCAACGGTGCAACTGATACAAGTAGGACCCCACCGACAATAAGAAGCCAATGAATAAAGATCCCATGGAGCCAGTTGCGGGCTTTCATATGTTCTACCCAAACGAAATTAGGACCATAAAACTCATCTTTGCGAGAGGGTGTACTGGAAAGGAGACCCCAAGTACGTTCAACAACTGCAACATCAGTGGAATTCGTGACAGACGTGGTCTGGAGCCCAAGATTTGGTACGGTCCGAACGCCAAAAATCATCTGGAGAATGGAGCTCTTGGGCCGCGTTGGATCCTTGTGTTTTACAGGTGACTGGGCATACGGGCTACTAGCCTCCTTGATCTCCTGAAGCGAAAAGACATCCCAGATACTTAAGGCGGTAGCGAGTGTGCCACCAGATGGTGCCGAGCTATGACTCAGTTAGTTGTTTGAACTATACCTTCCTGTTCAAGAGCTGTACTCACTTGATTTTGTGGAGAGAAACGACCACATCTCTCGTCTGAGAGCCTAAATCGGTACGAATAGCCTTGGCCATGGTCCATGTGATGAGATCAGCGGGAGCCGACTCAATTCCAGCTTGTGGGATCAAGATAGCACCTGTCTGTTTAGCATTTGCTTCATATTTCTTGATCATCTTATGAACCCAAGCAGCTTCGCCTGTGACATCTACGTAGTGGGTTCCGGCCTCGGCACAAACCCTATAAGCATGCTCACCGTACAGGCTGTATGGTCCAATGGTGGTTATGAGGATACACGTCTTCTTTGCCAGAACACTCAAATCGGCGTCGTTCAGGTTTACGACCTCAGTGGCTAATTGTAATCATCAGCTTGAGGACTATAAAGGATCAACAAGGAATGTTGTTGGGCGATACCTGGTGGCAGTCGATCAGGATTGAGTTTCTGACACTCTTCAACCACAGCCTTTAGCTTGCCACTGTTTCGGCCCGCCAGCGCCCATTTGAGGTCAGTTGCAAGATGCATTGAAATATATTCAGCCGTCAATTTTCCCGTGTAACCTTGGCTACAGTCAGAATTCGGCCATAGCCTTACCTTAAAGGCTCAACTAGAAGTAAGAACTCACCAGTTGCCCCGAGGACAACGATGTCGTACTGACGGCCATGATTCTTGACAAAGGGCATTGTCAATCGGCAATTGGTTCGGGAAGGAATTAAATAAGACTTGATATTAGGGTCAATCGAAAGTAGAATAAACAAAATTTTATATAGGTAGTCAATGCGAGTCGATTAAAACAAGGTAATGTGTAGGACTGCGTGCGAGACGGTCAAGTTGGGGTTACTGTCCTTGGTATCATGATGCCGAGGGACGATCAGTTTGGCTGTGCCTAGTGACCAGGCACCCTTGTAGGTGCTCAGAGCGTCATTCCGCTCCTGACATTGGGATCTTATCTCGATAAGGTGGCATTCATCAACAAGCTTGGTCCTGAACGAATGAGATGTGATGATGTCTTCACATGGGCTAAACCGGCATGATAGAATTTGAACTTGAGCGAGGAACCGTAGCAAAAGAGCTTCACTCCGTCCTTAAAGCATATGCCTTTCAAGCTGACAAAGTTTCTTTCACCTCGAACATTGACAGCCCTACGTTAGTACCTAGAGAGTTCCTCGAATGGAATTTAAGGGATCATGAGTCATGCTCTAACAATATCTCCAATTTCGCTGAATCGAAGCACGTGAGCCCAAAGCTCTCTGTCTCTCTATCTCTCTCTGCCGAAATTCTTCCGATCGAGCACCGAAAAAAATTCAAGAAAGTGGGACCCACTCGCTTCCTGAATGGGCTTGCCCTAAGGACCACAAGTTCTTTCCTCAACATTCAGTGTCAGCCTCCAACAGTCGAGCAACATTCACCTCCGCCGTCTTTATTCCTTTCAAGACGTCCGACACATATCCTTCAAGATGACCAAGCGAACAAAGAAGGTCGGTGTTACGTATGTATTGTCCTTCAGCTCAGCATCAGAGCAACGGCAGCTAACAAGTTCGCAGCGGTAAATACGGTACCCGGTAAGTTTCACGACGAAAATCCCATATCCGAAGCATATCGACACCGGTTTCCCCAGCTCCCTTTCGTAACGACTCCTCCGCTACCCGTGGCTCTCTTCATGGTCCCAGCAACTGTTTCAAAGGCAGGCGGTGGACTAAGGTTCGCACAAGCCAGGCCACAGATACAGATTGAAAGTTCCACGAGTCGGCCAAGGGCGGCACGAGGCAGGATGGGAGCTTGGATATGCAACGACTGGGTAGTTTGACACGACCGAAACTAACATCACGGTCTCTAGTTACGGTGCTTCCCTGCGAAAGCAGGTCAAGAAGATGGAAGTTACCCAGCACGCCAAGTACACCTGCACTTTCTGCGGAAAGGTCACCGTCAAGCGACAGGCTACCGGCATCTGGGATTGCAAGTCTTGCAAGCGCACTGTTGCTGGTGGTGCTTACACCGTTGCGTTCGTTCTCCCAACTCTATCGGATGATGCATATCAGGATGGATCACTAACCAGGAATAGCACACCTGCCGCCGCTGCCATGCGATCGACTCTGCGACGTCTCCGAGAGATTGCTGAGGTTTAAGGATGGGCTCTAGCGGAAGGAGAAAACGGCTTTGCTTTTCGGTATGGTGTACGGGGGATATGGATTTCGTGCCTACACTACGAGTTGACGATCTGGACGTCAACACCCGATCTTCGATCACATAGAAGCCGATCGATTAGCAATGAACAAAAAAGAATTGCAGGCTTCGGACCCATTCAACAACAATCCCGCCTCGTGCAAGTATAAAGTAACAGAACTGTTGTCATCTTTCAGCCATTGCAGGAGTCTACTATCGGCCAGAAACTGGACCGAACGATACAAACAGGTCCCATGCCAAAATGGTAACCTCTTCTTGGCCACCCCCCAGGTGTCTACGTCATGAGCTCCATGCCAGGACCGTATCTTGCGCCGCCGCATGTCCTTCGTCACTCTCTGCTGCGTACCGTGGGGCTCACAAGTATGGTAGAACATTCTTTCTCCAGTAATCAGAGCCGATTTCAACAGCATTTACGCCTGATCCGATTTACGTCGAGGGACATGAGCTGCGAGATCTCTTCCCCGGATCTGCCTAATCCTTTAAACCCTCTTAAACCTCGTACGACCTTGATGTACCCATTATTTTCTGTAGTCTGAACTTCTCAGTTTTCACAAGACATGGTTGGCAAGAGACATGTTGGTACGGCAGAAGTATGATTCATGCAGTTTTCAGTGAAACACGTCTGGCTAGTACATTGGGGCATTGTCGAGGCAGTTAGCCAAATCGTATTGTTGGGGGCAGTATGGTAAGCGAAAGTCTTTAATACTCTCAGCATGGACAGTATCTTGCCACGAGATCTGACTGTCAAGTTTGGCTTGTGAGATGGGTTCTGGCTTCGTGAGCCATGGCAAGTTTGCATCATAGCTCTCTGGGTTTCGGTATTGCACTAAATTTGGATGCTTGCCATACCAGTGTTGCCCTCCAATTGTGACTCAGGATACTGTTATCCTCGATGGTATCTTGGATACGTATATTTGGCCTATTATGTGTTGTGTCAGTGCGCAGTCATCCATGAATCTCCTTGGTCTAAAGCACTGAGGCGCGGCAAGTTCTCCTTTGGTAGGTTTGTATTGAACAGTCTGACTCCTTCTTGAGATCCATTCTCTCTCTATAAGGTTCAGTTTCTACGGAGTATATCGTCGATGAATTCACGTCGGTTCTTACACTTTAAATGTATTGACTCAAGCTCCGTTGTATCTTGGTAGGCATTCAAACTCTACTTCAAGCAGAAACACAGTGTCCCTTGGTCACTGTCCTTAGCTGCAATCAAAGCACCTCTTACTATTTATTTGTATATGATACTCATGAGCTGCCTTCTTCAATATTGATTTCTCAAAATAATATGTCTGATAGAGGTTGCTGACCGACTACAGTCTTGTGCATACCTACCCCTGTCCGATGTAAATAGAGCTACCTACCTAGGTACTAAGTTACCTTAACTTAGGACCATGCGCCCAGTCAGTCGCGCCAGCTTGTAGTAAAAAAAAAGACACCATTTGCTGGGCCGAATGACCAAGGACGGACGGTATCGAGTCCGGGACTCGGAAAACAGATGAGGGGAAGGCGAAGGATAGAATGAAGGCATGATGTTCTTCTACACGGCATAGGAATGGTATGAAAAAGGCCTACCTCACAGAAAGTACTGAGAATTATCTTTCCCTGTCTGTTAAACTTGTGCGTACTAACGCGCCTGTGTTCAAAATGCCTACCTCGAGGTACGGTACCGGTAATCAAGTCTGACGCGACCAAGAGTCATCCGTCATCAGGGTCTCTCCCCACCGTGCATTTGTTTTGCTCTGCAGGCACATAATAGCTAACATTTATTTCTTCCAGGCGTGGCGCTGATCCAGGACGGGTGAGCGCTCATTGGCCCCGATCACGTCCCTGCTAGGCTCCTAGGTTCGTTGAAAATACCCATTCCCCTAGAGCTGGATCTCTTTCTCTTATTTTCTTCTGCCTTTGCCTGCAGGGCTCCTGTCCACTAATGCATCACCATTCGGGTGTCAACCTAAGCCAGCCTGCTAAGTTACGGTACTTTGCCCCCCCAAAAACGAGCCATCCCGCCTAATCGATCACGACGGGACCTCTCCATCCATCCCATCCCATCCCATTCCCTTTTACCACCATCACCGCCTGCTCGAATCGACGGCTCGAATCGTCTTTAATTCACTCGATCTTATTTTACATGTTTTCATCAAGATACGATCTGCGTTATCAATTTCGACATCATGTCTGAAGCGGAGCAGTGCATCATATGCCTGGATCCTCTGCCCCGTCCCTCGGCTGCCCTCCAAGCTCCAGCTGCCCTCACTGTAGCTGCGAGTGATGCTGCTGCTGGTGTTTCTGGCGGCGAGCCCGCATCCGCACCCGAGTCCGCGCCTATTCCAACCACAACCTCCACAGCCTCAGATGTTCTTGAGAATGACACCAATTATCTGAACATAGTTGCGTCACTTGACGGGTGTAATCACATTATTCATGATGCATGTATTCGTTCCTGGGCTCAAAAGACAAACACATGTCCCATTTGTCGTAATCCCTTCCATTCAGTTCGAGTGTACAACGGGGTCGATGGTATGTAGGAAGCTTATTCTCCCACTTCGCGCATGTCCATTCACTAACACTTTCTTTTCTGCAGGTACCGCCATTTCGAAATATGATGTCCAAGATAAAAAACAGGTTGCTGAATTCGATGTAAGACAGTGGCTTGGCGAAAACCCCGAAGACGAAGAGGAGGAAGAGCAAGGCAACCCATGTCCTATTTGCAACTCTTCAGAGAGGGAGGATGTTCTTCTCTTGTGCGACAGCTGCGATGCAGCCTACCATACGCATTGTATTGGTCTTGAGGCCATTCCAGACGGTGACTGGTATTGTATGGAGTGCTCTCACCTCTTTCAACTGGTGGAAGAGCCAAGGACCACTGAATCTGGCGAACAATCTCCTCGTCCATCGTACGTGCGACGTCCGAATCCCCGAAACGTTCGTGGTTACCATGTACGAACTCGAGCACGATTAAGGCGAGCCCGTCGACAAGCTCGAAACGTCGAGTGGCAAGGCGCCTGGGGTCAGTTTTCCGGGCGGTTCTACGAGATGAGCGACTTGGATTTGGACAACCACGATGATGAAGATGAGGAATTGGAGCAATACAGGAGATTCCAGGAACTCGGGCGACGCGAACTCGAACGCTGGCAGCAAAGAATGGATATTGCCCGCCGCCTGGGCGCTCGTGACGTGTTCATAAACAACATACCTTCTGCTATTAGCGAACGGCTTCAGTCAGCACCAGAGCCAGTACAAGAAACGGCTGACGAAAGACGAGCCTGGGGCGCTTTGGAACGTGCTCGTGAAACGGATGAACCCAGCACCACTTCTCGCAAGCGCAAAGCACGATCTGTGACTGCGTCTCCGCGCGAACCCGTTCAAGAACCCGAAAGGAAGCTGAAGCGCCCTCGAACACGTCGCTTGCCCACCCAGAATGGTGAAGGTTCAAGCTCCGTATCTTCTCCAGCGCCGGCTGGGCCCTCGTCAACACGACCTGTTCCCAATGGATCGTCATCGAGAAATGGTACTGTCGACCATAGCAGTAACGATCCTCCCTTGGTTTCATCACTACTGAAGGAACTCGAGCCTAGCATCATGTCTGAGGACGAGACAATGACTACCAATGGGTGGCGGCATGCACCAGAGGCTTCATCCCCAGCCCTCTCACCGGCGATATCTCCGTCCCCATCAAATTACAGTAGCCCACGGGCTCTTTCTCTTACCCCTCCTCCTATGCCAAACTTCAACGGCCGACCAACTTCACCAACACTCTCGCTCAGCAGTACTATTCAACCTCGTTACGCCCCCGCGAATTACTCGCCTACTCGTTCAAACCGTGACCACAGCGACTCAGAGACGCGTTCAACCAGACCCCATGCAAACTATTCCCCGACTCATACAAGCAATGACCAGTCCGATTCAGAGACACGCTTGGTGAAGGTCCCAGAGAGCCGACCGTTAGAACTACGACAACCACGGCCACGCCGTCCATCTGAGGTACCAGCTCAAAAAGAGGAACAGCCGTCAGCAGACTCCAATATCACCCAGGAAGACAAGATCAGCATAAATGAGATTGTCAAGGGCGCATTACGACCACACTGGCGGTCTAGAAAACTAACAACGGAACAATACTCGGTTATCAACAGAGATATTTCAAGAAAGCTTTATGACGAGGTGAAAGGCGCGGCATCATTGAGCGATGAAGCCCGACGGCAATGGGAAAACAGAGCAACTAAGGAGGTTGCTCAAGCAGTTGCAGAATTGTCTGCTTAGCTTAATGATAGAATGAATCAAGGCGGGAAACAAGAGTTAAGCAGGCGTTCAGGCATTATCAAGGGGATCCATATGGTTTGATACCCAGCATCTTTCGAAAGGCGGGCATGATTCATTGCATTTTGATAGCGTGGTGTCACAACGGATTTGAGATCGGGTATCAACGCGAGTTCGATATATGTACAGATATCATAAGTTTGGGTCATGTTCGCATATGGCTCTTATGTCACTAGGTAGTCTCATGTTCTAATGCGACGTTCTCGTTGGCGTGTGCCACTTTGTCGTTGTTTTGTCGATGTCATCGAGAATGTTCACCTTTGGCTGGCAGCGTGACCGGCTTGGATCCAAGGCCTACCACATGTACGGCACTTTTTTTAATAGCATAGTTCCAAGCGCGTGAAACAACTCCGTTGATAGGAGTAGTATTTCAGTTGGCTATCAAGCTTTATTGAGATGACATGAAATGTCAGCAGTATCTATCTAACAGAACCCGGTAGGATGAAGAATTTTCTTGCAGGCCCCGCTAGCGAAAAAGACTGCGGATTTCTTCTCGGCACACGTAAATGATCGAGACGTTCTGGAGGTGGAAACAGGTCTTGACGATAAGGAAATGGTGCCTTGAGAGGAAAAGAAAGAAGAGGATGCGACAGATGCTGGAAATTTATTTCAATGATCTGTGTCTCGTTGCCTCAGGCGCGAAACATGCATTGACTCTGCCTGGGGCCCTCCACTCCCGGTCAGGTCGGGCCTGTCGCTCCGCGGTACGTACCGTCCAGGCCCAGGCGAAAAGTTCGTGAAGTCGCTGTTGAATATCACCATCTAGCTTCGATCACCGAGTCGCAACGTTCGGGAGTCACAACCCACGGAGCGAAGACAGACAGCATGACAGCTTCAAGCCGGGGTTCAAAAGCCGCCCAGGCTGTGCTATCTAGTGAGTCCATACATTTCCCTCCTTCTGTCCTGTTCTGTGCTCAACAATTGATCGTCTTTAAACCCACTCCAAGACTCATGCAACTAACAGAAAACATCTCAGCTTCTCCTAATCTGTGCGCACGATGCGCTTCCTCTTCTTCTGTATCTAGATACCCAGCCCGGCTCTACTCGTCTCTCGCCGCAGCCGTAGCGAAAACCCCCACCGATACCTCTGCTCCTACACCTACTAGCTCTTCGCCGCCCTACGACGTTCGCTCTGGTGTAATTCTCACGCGACCACCCCTGGTGACACGGAAACTCCATTCTTTTGAAAACGCTTTCTTTTTCTACCAGAAACGTCTCGAAGAACGTCTCAACACCCCTTTTATCACGGGTATATACTTCAAACCTGATACGGCTCGCCGTCTAGACTGGAACATCAAGGTCCAGGAGCGCAAGGGCACAGTGGCCAAGGAGCTGGGTGTCTACAATGGAAAGAGTTCCAAGGCGTGGGATGACGAACTTAAGGTTGGCGATGAGCTTAGCAACCAGGAGACTATTGTCAAGTCCTTGCTCAGGGATGCCGAGGCACGTGTCAGTGATGATGCTGAGATTATTGCTCCTGAGGATGTCGTCCCTGTTGAGCCTCCTGCGGATCGTGTGACTGAAGCAGATCGTAAGGGTGATGTTCAAAGATTGGATCGTCAACTCGATCGAACCCTGTATCTCGTGGTCAAGGGTAAGGACGGCTGGGGCTTCCCCGCTGATGTAATTCCTAAGGATGAAAATCTTCACGAGGTAAGCCATGTTTGAATAGGGTTGTTGGGTAGTGCTAAATATTCCAATAGTCCGCCAAGCGAGTCCTCGACCAGGCTGCTGGTGTCAATATGAACACATGGATTGTCAGCCGCGTACCAGTCGCCCATGTCGTCTCACGACCCAAGACGACTGCCGACGGCGTCGTCGAGAAGAAGGGTGAGAAGACTTTCTTCATCAAGGGCAGGATAATGGCTGGTCAGGCTGATCTTAAGGATAACCCCTTTGGCTACACCGAGTTCAAGTGGCTGACTCGTGAGGAGCTGGAGAAGGAATTGCCAAAGGAGTACTGGAAGGGCGTACGAAACATGATGACTGATCGGTAACTAGTAGAGGTTGGGTAGAACTGGCAGTGACGATACTGCGTGTATAATTATCATGTATACTTGCTGTACACAAGAATCGATACGTCAAAACATGTCACTTGTGCACATTTGTCCTAAGCTGCGATAACCTTGTGTGATGCCAGGAAATCATAAGAGTAGATCAAAGATCGATCCATCATATTCATGCAGTCACTGAAAATGTTCATATGGGTATTCTGGGATTCAAGAAGCTCAGTCGTCTCGTTGGGATTGGTGAAGGCTTCACGCCTAATTTTGTTCCATCTAACAACGGCCCAGAAAGTCTCAGCTTCATCGTAATCACATAAGGAATAAACCTTGAGCCACCCAACGCCATTTCGTCGTCCCCAGGTATAGTCTTTGCAAGCCCCTTTGATTACAATTCTCCATTTGCATCCTCTCAAGTAGGCTTCGCTTGACCCTCTACGAACTCAAGAGCCTGCTCCGTGCTGACACAGTCGATTGAACTTGTCTTGCTACGGAACGTCACACCGTAACATCTGTCTGCGACATGCACAATCTCAGGTCGGAACGTGGTGCAAATGAACTGAGTACCAATTTCCTTAGAGATGGACTCAAGAAGGGCCGCAACAGCTGTACGATATTGGGCATCCAGATTGGCATCCACCTCGTCAAAAATCACCATGGGACTGCTCTCAGTAGCCTGCAGGGCGAATATAAGGCAAAGGGCGCATAAACCTGCTCTCGTTAATAGCTGAACACGGCAAAGGGAATAATATGCCTTACTCTTCTGACCACCGCTGAGTTGCTGGATCTTCTGCTGCTCATCGAGGTGTTTTGAGTTGAATGATACACTGATGCCAACGCCAGTGTAGTTTTCAACACCGCGTACCTCTCCGTCTGATTCGTCGACAGGTTCTTGACGACGATCCGCCCGTCGTTGAATGAGAAGGCGGCCATGACCAGCAGGCACCAACTTGCCAAAGATAGTTGTGAATTCCTTGGAAACCTGTTTAAACGTTCGCTCAATTGCCTCGTCTTTTCGGCGGTCGAGATGCTCAACGAGTACCTCAATTGACTCCTGAGAGTCATCTAACTCTTTACGACGTTTCATAAGCTGATCTTGTTGAGTTGTGAAGTTGTTGTACTGTTCGAAGGCTTTCTTGTTCACGTGCTTGTACTTCTTCAGTGCTTCATTAACCTTCTTGATCTTGGTTGAGACCTGCCAACGCGTTAGTCACTTCACATTGGGGTTGATTGGTACAAAACTTACCTGATTTGGGTCCATATTTTCATACTTGTCGAAGGCTTCTTCGGGAAGCACACCTAGGTCGCGAATAGTCTGTGCACATTCGGCTGCTTGTGTTGACAGAACCGCTTTCTTTCGGAGGCTCCTGTCCATCTTCTTCTGCTGTCTCTCGATCCTTGCGGATATCTCACTCTGCACTTGCTCTAGTTGAGCCTTCTCATTTGCCAGTTCCTCGAGCCGCGCTTGTGCATCATCCATTTTGTTTTCAAGTTCCTGGAGACTTGCTTCAACAGCTTTTTGTGCTTTTTGTGCCTTCTTGAGTTCCCTTTGGGCATCTTTCAGTCCACCACCCGAGGATCCAGTCGAGTCTTCAAAAGCCTGGCTATTGAGTTGGTCAAGCTTCATCTGCAGGTTTTGGCGAAGGTCCACTTCAAGAAGTTGCTTTTGCCTTTCCAGATCACGCCGGGCTCGGCTGAGTTCATTCCACTGCTTTTGGAGCTCCTGGGTGCTTGTCCCGAGTTCCTCCAGCTGGCGTTCTTCAGAGGCAGTCAGGGTTTTCTTAAAGTCAGATCCCAGTTCGGCCTCATGTGCGGCAAGATCCTCCAAGAAGCTGTTCATGTTCTTCTCGACTGCATCTCGACGTTTCTTGGCGGCCTCGAGGTGACTCTGCTCTTTGTTCAGATGCTTTAACTTATTAAACAGTTCATGGTTCAATGGCTCAACCCCGTCAACAGCCCGTCGTAATCTTTCGTTGGCCTTTTGCAGGTCTGACATCGCAGCTGTGATCTCCTGATCCTTGAGTTCTGTCTGTTTTCGGATATCACGAGATTGCGCTAACAACCTTTCGTATTCATCCCTCCATTTATTCACGGCTTGCACGGCGTGTAAGCGCGACTTTCGAGGGTCGATATACCCGCCTGTCATGGCACCCCTCTTGTTGGTTGTATCGCCTTCTGGAGTGATGCCGTCGACACCGTGGCTTCTTGCATATTGGCTTGCTACTGTAAGGTTCGGACATACGACAGCTTTTCCAAAGACCTGCTGAAAAGCCTTCTCGTACTCTTCATTAAAGTTGATCTTGCTTAGGAGAGGTACGGCATCATTAGACCTGGGAAGCTTAATTTGCCGGGGCCGTAATTGGGCGAGAGGCATAAATGTAACTCGGCCTCCCTGTTGTCTGTATAGGGTGTCTGCGAGATAAGTGGCTGTATCTGCGTTGTCAACAACATAGTGAAACAGACTTGCGCCAGCAATTTGCTCAACGGGAAGTCTGTAAGCGTCACTGACTTCAAGCAGCTCAGCCAATGTCCCATATGCTCCGGGAATATCTCGCTCTTGCTTCAATCGTCGGATCGTCGCCAGACCACGTGCAGTCGATCCATCCATTGCATGAGCCAACTCACGTTCAGCTGTTTCCTTCTCCTGCCGAGCATTGGCTATAACTGAGTTGAGTTTGTCATCCTCACGACGAACAAGTTTTCGTTCATCGTTAAGCTTATCTATGATGTCGCGGGCCTTGGCAGCCTCCTCCTCGAGGGCTATTCTCTCGTCAGGGAAGTTGGCCAAACGGCTCCGTAAATCAGCAACGTCTTGCTCTGCCTGTGCTATAGATTGTTGGACCCTTTCAACTTCTTCGTCTGCATCAATCTTGTTGGCTTTTTGGGTGCTTATGTTGAGTTCGAGTTCTTGTATCTCTTTCCGCAACCATGCGTCACGCT